TGTTCAGGGAAATGGGAAGAAGTTCTGTGTCACCTTCCAGTGTGTTTGTGCAGCTCTGGGGTTGTGTTTCATCCTGGTGGGGTGGGGCTTGGGGGAGGGGTGTGGAGAAGACCCTGCAGATGACGCCAAGGAAGTCCTCCTGTGGTGGACTTGTTTATTTTTGTCAGATGGAATGAATTCTGAACATGGGAGTCTCCAATTCTGACCAGCAATAAATTGAGTATCTGGTTGACCTTTTTATTCCAGTGATTGGGAAGAGAGCCGGTGCCTCCTTTGTCATAAGTCTTGCTTCATTGTTTCTCGGGTACGGCACTATAGTTGAGTCCTCTTTGAGCATCTGTTTGAGCTTTGATTTAAAAAAAGATATTTATTTATTAGAGAGAGAGACACACACAGAGAGAGGTCTTCCATCTGCTGGTTCACTCCCCAAATGACCATAACGACCAGGGCGGGGCCAGGCTGGAGCCAGGAGCTTCTACCAGGTCTCCTATGTGGGTGCAGGGGCTCAAGGACTTGGGCCATCTTTTGCTGCTGTCCCAGGTGCATTAGCAGGGAGCTGGAAGCAAAGTGCAGCAGCCAGGACTTGAACGTTGCCCATGTGGAATGTCAGCGCGCAGACAGTGGCTTAACTCACTGCACCACAGCCCTGGCCCCTTGAGCGTTGATTTTTTTTTTTTTAAGGGAAAGTGTTTATTGGGGAACACCCTACAGACCGGAGTGAAGGGGCGGTGAAGGAAAAAGAGAGAAGGAGACTGTGAGAGAGAGACAGAGGAGGGAGAAGAGAGAGGAGAGAGGCCAAGAGAGCGCAGGAGAGAGCACGTGTGCAGGAACAGGCCCTTTTAAAACTTTGCCTGAGGGCAGGCAGGGAAGCTGGAGCAGCGAATCCCATTGGGATGGGGGTGGAGCCTGGCTCAGGTAGCTGGGCCATGTGGCCACCTGGCTACAACTGCACCAGTTTCCTAACATTCCCCTCTTTTGTTTTTTATAAAGCAGGGTTTGTATGGGATTACATTAGTCCCAAAAGTCCAAGAGGGGTAGAGGGACGATGATCTGTCTTTAGAGCTACTTCCTGCTGACATGGGGCAATGATGTACTCTTCGCTGGCATGGGGTGATGTCTCAGGCCGCTGTCTCCTGGGTGGGGAGCCGAGTATATCCCTGTAGCAGCATTTGGTTGCTGAAGGCCTTCCTTTGTTCCATTATCACCTGCTGTAAACACTTAGACACTGTAGTATAGAAGACAGGGTGAGAGTAGTAACCAATGATCCTAAGAGTAGCATTAACCAGGTAATAAGAGGATTTTATAGAGAGGAAATGGAGGGGGTCTCTGGACCCTTGTGGGGACAGTTTGATGGATGTAGCTTAAAGCTGATTCCAGCCAAGACTGGGAGAAAGGCCACTAACTTTTGCAGGTAGTGGTGTTTGTAGAGAAATTCTGAACAATCATACATTAAGTGGGAAAGAGGACCATCAGTACACACAGGTTGGGAGTAGAGCCATTGGTGGTAGAGTAGAGGCTATGGTTACAAAGGAATGAAGCTCAAGTGGGCTAGATACAGAGGACAGAGTTGTTATTAGAGGAGCTAAGAAAGGTGCTGTCTAAGCTACAAATAAGTTTTCTGATTGAGAGGCAAATAGAACCTGACAGAAGGGGCTTGATAATAATCAGGTGGGCTTTAAAGCCTTGTAAATTATGAGGCCCAGACTTATCCATCTCTTCATAGGGTACATCCTACAGGAGGTGTGAACCTCCTTGGGGAAGGCACCCTGTTGACTTCCATTACCTAGCTGGCCTGGGAGGAGAGCTGGCCAGGTAAAGGCAAGTGGCAACTCCAACAGGAAATATACAGCTCTGCCTGCAATGTTACTGACCCTACTTGGCCATTTCCTCAGTTGCAGTGGTCACTTTGAAAGCTAGGCCGAGTTAAGGGCTTTTCAGCTTAGAGTCAATAAGATCTGTGGCTCTGACCTGGGCGTCCTTCGACTCCAGGGCAGGTCCATTTTCAGTGATCCAACTCTTGGCAGAGCTGCCAGGGCTCTTCACAAGCTGATTTCTGCTGAAGCGCAGGCTTACCACATTGAAAGCCGCTGCAGTGGACTGGCCTGTTGGGTCTCCTTGAGGGCAGATCACTGTACAGAGCAGCCATTAACAGGCCTGCCACCATTGCTTCTGATGCCTAGCTTTCTTTTCCTCCTGGTTTTTGTAAAAGCAGACCAGAGGATGCAATGAGCTTTGATTTTTAAGCACTGGCAGGTGCAGGGGGCAGGTACCTTTTGGAGGCCTATGGCTGATGAGCAAGTTGAGATGTGACACTGGTAAGGGAGCTGTGATGGGAGGAGGTGGAGTTGCGTTTATCCTTAAGACACTCTTTGCTGCTGCTGTTTCTGAGTGTACCACACACCACTTCCAGGAGCCAGTTGCAGAGTGGCAAGGTGAAGAAGTGAGTTCCTATTCACAATGTGATCAGAAACATCTCAGGGCACTGCCAGCTGCAGGGCCAGTAGGGCCCTGTTCTCCTTCCCTGCCTCTCACCCACTCCTTCAAGGCCCCTGGTCTAGTCTTTGAACCATTCTTCCTGAAACCACACGTCAGTGGATTCCTTCTTTGTGCGCCCGAAGGACTCCGCAACTTGGCTGACAAGGAGGCATTTGTGAGTTCAATTCTTCATTCATTATTCATGCAGCTAGGGGTAATTAGCATGTAGTAATGTGGTTTCTGGGGGTGGTGGGGCCGTGTTCATTCATTGAATAAACATTTGTGGATGCCCTGTTCTGGGCAGGGTCCAGGGCATGGGCTGGAGTTACAGGGTGAGGACAGGGCCTCACTTTTGCTGTGCAGTCTGTTGGGGGAAAGACAGGTAATCAACAGGTGAAGTGCAGTAAAGGTGTTACAGGACCTGGAAGGGAGGAACCCACGCTGGGAAGAGCCGGGGAGGGCTTCCCAGAGGAAGTGACACTTGATTGGGCCTTGAAGAGTAACTAGGAAAGGATTGAAAAGGGGATAAGGGACGTGCTCATTTTCCAGGGCAGAGAGGTTGTGTGGGGTTTTTGTTTCTTGTGACGGATGGTCCTGCATCTTCCTGTCCCCCACCCCCTCTTCCCGCCCTGAGCCTCCATCTCTGGAGAATTAATGCGCCTTCTGTCCAGCATCTGGTGGCCCTGCCACCCTGCCTGCTCAGGGAGGCAGCTCACAGTTGGCGAGGAGGGGGGAGAGAAGGTTGCGGGCGACTCATCAGGCTCCCTGGGGCTGAAAAGAGAGCCAGCTTCAAAGCCTAGGGCATTTCAGAGATGAGTCGGGTCCCACCCACTGAGCATTTTACACAAATAAGAACCCACTTTCTAGTTCTTCAACAAAAACTTGGCCAGCTTTGGGGAGATTGTTTTGCTTTATTTTCTTTTACAAGTGGGGTTGGTTTTTAAGGGCCATTCATAGAAATGGGCCAAGGTGGTATTAAGGTGGTGGGGTGGGCTGTTGCTGTGTCTCTTGTTTAAACTTCATTTCTCTTTGTTCTAGTCAATGTTTTATTACCGATATGAATCACAGAGGGGCTTGGAGGGAGAGAGGAATGGGTTTCTGTACAAACAGCTGTCTTGCTGATTCAATCTACAAAGGAGATTTTATAGCTAAAGTATTTGTTCTTGCTTTAAAAATGCCAAAACAGCACCGTCATTTCCTGAGCTAGAAAGAAGGGTCTTTGAGAATACGGGAGCCTTCTCCCTCCCCCCATTACGAACCTTTGTTGGGGGCAGAAGAAATTCCAAAGGTCTCCCTTTGAACCACTCATTTCTAAAATCATCTCATGTTTGGGGGAGAAAAATTTTCTTTGCAAAGTTTGAGTTACCAGTTCATGCAACCATTTTTTTTTTCTTTTATCACATGTGCTGGTTAAAAAATAATAATAATAATCCTCTCTGTTCATCACAGCTGACTACCTGCTTAATGTTTGTGTGTAGATGTTTCATTTTCTTTCTTATGCAAGATTTCATCGTTGCATGATCTGAGATAGTTGGTTGCCCTGAGATTATTAATAAATTGGGACAGTTAATGGTGTGTGATTCAGAGCATACATTTAAAAACAAGTTAGAGTAGAAATAGGTCTTTTACAAAATTAATTTTTTGTGAGGCGCCTCTCTTGAGCCTTTTTTCTGAAGCCAGCTTGCTTTGTAGTGTTCATATATGCCCGATTGCAATTAACATAAATTACTTTTAAATACCAGTTAGTTGCTGTGGAGAGAGGTCAGGGTTGTGGCTGCTTGTGGAGGGTTAACAGGTTTGGTCATTGTCTGGGGTTTTATCTCCCCGCAGATCAAATTCTGTTCCCTTGGAGGCTGGCAGACTGGGTCAAAGATTGCCTTCTTGGATGGGGAGGAGAAGGATTAAGTGTTTGCCTTCATTACCAGGATTTTTTTTTTTTTAAAGAAAAACAAAAAAACAAGGAAGAATAAATAATCCTAATATTTTTGCTTATTTAAAAGCAAGTTATATTAAATGTAATGTGGCATCATAGATTGGATCCTGTAACAGAAAAAAGAACATCAGTGGGAAACTTGGTGAAAGCCAAATAAAAAGCCTGCAGTTTCTGTTACTGTTGTCATACTCATGTTAGCTTCTCAGTGTGATAAGCATATTGTGGCTGTGTGAGGTGGGATTCCAGTCCATGGAAGTGGAGTGGAACTGTCCTTGCATTTTGTCTGTGATTCCAAAATTATTTCAAAGTAAACTTAAAAAAAAAAAACCACAACACAGTGTTGTGCAGCAGATGGTTAAGGTGCTGCTGGCAACTCCAGCATTATTAGGAAACTGGCTCAGTTTCGCCAGGTGGCCACATGGCCCAATCTCTGTGGTCAAGTTCCACCCCCATCCTAATGGGATTCGCTGCTCCTGCTTCCCTGCAGTAGACGGTTAAGGTGCTGCCTACAACGCCAGCATTCCCTGTTGCGGCTCCAGTTTGAGTCCTGACTGCTCCACTTCCCATCCAGCTCTCCTGTTAATGCTCCTGGGAAAGCAGCAGAAGATGGCCTGAGTGCTTGGACCCCTTCCACCCACATGGGAGACTAGATGGAGCTCTGGGCTCCTGGCATTGTCCTGGACAATCCCTGGCTGTTGCAGACATTTTTGGAATGAACCAGCAAATAGAAAATCACTCTTTGCCTCTGCCTTTGTCTCTCTGTCTCTCTCTGTATCTTCCTCTCTCTGCAATTGCCTTTCAAATAACTAAATAAATATTTTCTTTAAAAAAAAATAGAGATTGTGTTTGGTTTGTGTACATTTCAAGCGATCCACCTGTGAGAAGGGCGGTAGGGGTGAGGGTGTGCTGGAAGCCCCTGACTCCTGGGCTGTCCCTTTTTCATGCTGTTCATCCTGCTCCTTCTGCACGCAGCGCCCACAGCCCCATAGCAGATACCTTCCCATCCACACACCTTTCTGAAGACTGGTGATCAGCTGAGGCCATCGGCATTTGTTGCCTGCAGTGGACAGCTGGCGTCTTGGGGTGGATACTCTTACTTTCCTGTGAGGACTGGTGGTTGGATTGTTTGTGCTGTCTTGTTCATGCTCTTCCTGTGTGTGCAAGCTCACTGTAGCAGTCAGATTGGAAGCTTCTTTAGAGCTAGAGATTTGTCTCTCTTTAATTAAACAAACAAACAAAAAAAATGCCAGCACGAAATAATGCTCATAAGGAAAAAACTAAGCTGGAATTAGAGCATTGCAAGTTAAGGTTCCCCTAGGGTTGTCTCTCCTGCCACTACCACCATGGATGAAATAGAATATATTTCTCCAGATTTTTTTCTGTGTATATTAAAGAATACCTCAGAAAGTTCATGGAAAAAGGAAATTAAAAGAAGTTTGTTCTACATTAGATCAAAATATTTTGAAATTCATGCATAATTTTTTTATTTTTCTGCTTTTAAAATAAAGATTTTTTTTATTTATTTGAGAAGTAGAGTGACAGACAGAGAGAGGAAGAGACAGAGCGAAAGTTCTTCTATCCGCTGGTTCACTCCCAGATGGCCACAACGTCTGGAGCTGAGCCGATCTGAAGCCAGGAGCTAAGAGCTTCCTCTGGGTCTCCCACGTAGATGCAGGGGCCCACACACTTGGGCCATCCTCCATTGCTTTCCCAGGCCATGAACAGGGAGCCAGATTAGCAGTGGAGCAGCCAGGTCTCAAACTGGCACTCATGTGGCATGGCAGCATCAAAGGTGGTGGCTTAACCCGCTATGCCACAAGGCTGGCCCCTAGATTTTTTTTTTTTTTTTATAATACACATTTTCCTTGAATCTTTTGAAGAACTCCCATTCACATAAATTTCAAATTTTTGAAATTTGAAACTTTTAATTCCATTTTCCCACAGACTTTTAAAAAACTTATTTGAGAGACTAAGAGAAAGAGAAGGTAGCAAGACAGAGAGAGAATATCTCCAGTCTGCTCATTTACTCCCCAAATGCCCATAATGGCCAGGACTAGGCAGGGCTGAAGCTGGGAGATAAAAGCTCAATCCGGGTCTCTCACATGGGTGGCAGGAAGCCGACCACATCACCACTGCCTCCCATGGCACACATTAACAGGATGCTGGAGTTGGGGGTCAGAGGGAGGCCCTGAACCGAGGCGCTCCGTCATGGAATGCAGGCCTCCCAACCGGCGGCTTAACTGTCAGGACGAGGAAGGGCGATGCGGCAGAGGTCGACAGGACAGCTTTCCTTGGCAAGGCGCAGGGCTTCCTCATCTGCCGAGCACCTGGGAGCAGCTGCCTTGAAAGATGCAGTGTGAGGAGCCCAGGACACAGGGTTGTGACTGCAGTGAGAGAGTGAGTCAGGAGAGGGGAGGGTGGGACAGCAGTCCTGTGTGCTTGAGGTGGGTGGAGGCAGGGCTGGCAGCCTATGGTTGATCTGAGATGACCTGAGACTGGGGGGTCTTCAGGGGGAGTAGTAGGGGAGCGCCTTGGGTAGGTAGCCTGTGAACATTTGGCTACCAGTGGCTCCTAGAGCTTCCGGGGTGGCGGTAACTAGTTGTAATTGGAACATTTTGTGAAATGGCAGAGCGAGCGGCACAGGACTGGGGATCTGATTTGTTGGTGTTGACGAGTGCACCGAGTCCTTGAAGAGCTGCTTGCAGAAGGAAGCGTGTGGCACAGGGTCCATCCTGGGATGTGCCCATCTCCTCTGTGTGGGCTGTTCACAGGGGGACCTTCCTTGTCAGGAAAAGCGTCCTGGAGGGCATTATCTGTGCAATTACAACCCTAGTTAGCAATGTGGGATGGATACAGAGAATTTTCTAGAATGGATCTTGCTTCGTCATGTGAATACATTCATTTCCCTTTTGGTTTTGTCTCTCCTCCGTGGAAGTTTGACTTGACTCAAGGGAATGAGATGTTGGTAAGCACTGAGAACCTTAACAAATCCAGTTCTTTAGAGAGAATGAGAGGTCCCAGAGGAAAAAGGATATACTCAGAGGAGAGGACGGTAACTTGAGTTTAACTTTTCTTCCCCACAAATAAAATATTGCAAATGTGGGAATGCCCACCTGTTTGCCAACACCCTTGACACTGCTGTGTGTTTCTGTCCCCTTCACCTCCCTGCACACACTCACCATGGTTTTTTTCATTCAGCTTGGTATTGGTGGCATTCATTCATGTTGATGTGTGCAACTGCAGTTGATTTATTCTCAGCGCTGTGCCGTGTTCGTCGTATGAATGGACGACCACGTGTCTGTTCTCCCCTCAGCAGACGTTGGAGTTGCTGAGGTTTCTCTTTCTGGTCCACCCACGTTGCACTGCTGTGAATATTACTGTGTATGTCTCCTAGAGTATGTATGTGACAGTTTACTGGAATATAGATCTAGGAGTGGAGTTGCTGAATTGTGAGGTGTGTGCAGATTCAGGTTGATGAGAAATTGTCTTCTATGGGACCCTGCCATGCAGTAGTTGTACCACAAATAAGATATTATAGTTCCTGTGCCAACAGGTGGTAATATCTGACGTGCAAAGCTTTTCCCAATCATGTGGAATCTTGTGCTTTTGATGTTTTTCACTAATCACTAGTATGGTTGAACATCATGCTTGTTGTGATTTTTTAAAAATGTACTTATTGGGGCTGGTGTTGTGGCGCAGCAGGTTAAGCTTCTGCTTGTGACGGCAGCCCATGTTAGACTGCCAGTTTGAGTTGTAGCTGCTCTCTTTCTGATCCAGCTCCCTGCTAACGCACCTGGGAAGGCAGTAGAGGATGGCCCAAGTGCTTAGGTCCCTGACACTCACATGGGAGACCTGTTTGGCATTCTGGGCTCTTGGCTTTTGCCTGGCCCATCCCTTGCTGTTGTGGCCATTTGGGAAGTTAACCAGCAGGTGGAAGATCTATCTCTCCCTCTCCCCCACCTTTTCTCTCTGTTGCTCTGCTTTTCAATTATATAGACAAATAAATCTTTAAAAATATTTACGTATTTGAGAGAGAAATATCTGCAATGGCTGTGGTGGCACTGGGCCAGACTAAAGCTGGGAACCAGGGATTTAATCCAGGGTGCCAGGGACCAACTACTTGAATCATCACCTGCTGCATTACAGGGTCCACGGTAGCAGGAAGCTGGTGTCAGGAGCTGGAGCTGCTGTCAAACCCAGGTATTTTGATGTGGGACACAGGTGTCTTAACCATTAAGACAAATGCCTAGTGCTTATTTTTTAGGAAAAGGATTCAGGACACTAAAACACAGTCAGCTTGGGAATGAGTCACACAATGTTTTTTACTTCATCTTGAGACGGGAGTGTCTGCTAGCTTGCTGCATTTTTCTCAGGTTCTGTGTATTACAATTTGAGATCCCCGCCGAGGCCTGATTCTGTTGAGCCTGTACTTTATGAAAGCCCCTGAATGACAGCAAGCTGGCTTTGTCCTCCTTTGATGAGAGCGTGTTGTTCCTCTTAATGTAAATAGGCAAAGAAAGGAGGGTTCAGGCTGGGTCCCTGGGGTGTTTGGTGGTGACAGCCCCTGGGTGAGGGAAGGGCTTTGGGGAAGGGTCCCTGGTGAGTACCAGTGCCCAGGATGAGGAAGGGCCGGCTCCCGGTGACGGAGACAAGGAGGGGAGAAATGGGCCAGGATGATGAGAGACCCTGTCAGGGCTGGGCAGGCCCTCTGCAGCACGATAGCCCTTGGATGGTTCCCCAGTCTGTAGGGAGGACCCCGTGATCAGGGAGGACCCCGCCGTGGCTGAGCTTTGCGGGGAGGGCAATCTGGTGTATTCCGCGTTCCGGCGAGCACTTTCATGTGGAGATCTTTGATGTTCTGGAAAATGGGCAGGAAAGTCTGCGTGAGCGCTTGGGAAGAGACACTGCCTACGGGGAAAGAATATTCCGTTATGAGAGCCCAGAACCGCCCTGCTTGACATCTGCTGGCTTGGTCGGCTGTTCTAGTGAGCCCATGAGAATTGCAGGCAGAACATAGGCTTGCAGTCCCACATGAAAGCATGTTTAAAAACGCGGTGTTAAGGGGGAATCCAGAGGCCAATGCGGTATTTATAGAAGGACTACAAAGATAACGACACTCTGCCTGTGGACCTGCTCCAGGAGGGAACTGGAGAAAATCACAGTAGTTGATTTTGTTTCGTGCGATGGGATAGTGGATTTTTTTTTTTAATATTTATTTTTTATTTATTAGAAAGAGTTACAGAGAGGGAAGAGGAGACAGAGAGATCTTCCATTTGCTGGTTCACTCCCCAAGTGGCTGCAACAGCTAGGGCTGGGCCAGGCTGAAGTGGATACAGGGCCCAAGTATTTGGGCCATCTTCCGCTGCTTTCCCAGGCACGTTAGCAGGGAGCTGGATCAGAAGTGGGGCAGCTGGGATTTTACCTGGTGCCCATATGGGGTGCTGGCATAGCAGGCAGAGGCTTAACCTGCTATGCCACAATGCTGACCCTGATAGTGGGTGTTTTAAAAAATGCTCATATGATTATAATACAGGAAGATGCTTTTACTAAGATAAGCCCAGACTTTATCAGACCACTCTGATTGCCTGTCAGCACATTTATTTATTGAGTTCCTAACACAATGGCCACTTTGGGGAAGAAGACCTGAGACCCTTCTTGTAAGAAGCACATACACTATTGTGGGGTGCCTGAGCTGTTAAAGCTGGTTAGAGGCATGGGTGTTCTGCAGGGGGCCATGTCATTAGTTGCCCAAGGAGGTGGACCTGAGTTCAGGCTCCCGTTGGTTTGGGGAGGTGGCCTGGAGGGAGCTCCTGGAACATGGAGGCCCTGGGTAATAGGAGAGCAGGAATGGTGTCCTGGAGGGAGGGAGGGGAGCAGGAGAGGCAAGGCTAGGAAATGGGGGCCATCTAAGACCTCCTTGGTCATCAGGAGAAGGAATGACTGTTAAGGATGCACGCAGAGTTTCTCCCCAAGAGCTCACCCTTGGTCAGGAGTCTGAAGCCATGTTTGGTTAGGTCCTCACTGAGTAGCTGATGAACCTGCTGGCCTCTCTTAAGAACAGTTACATCCTGGTGCATCTGGGGCCACAAGGGGCTCCCACACAGAGGATTTTGGAGCCGTCCTTGGGATCCCAGTTCAGTGTGGCTGGTACGGTGGAGCTCCTGCCGTGTGTTAGGGGTGTTGTGGGACGTGACGATTCAGCGGAAATACAAGTGGACAAGCCAGGTCTTTGCTTTCAGGGACCTTCAGTCTCAAGGAGGGACAGACATGAAATGGCAGTCACAGGCTAGACAGTGTTAGTGGCAGGCAGAACACGTGCCTGGGAAGAGGGTGGTCAGCAGCTCTAACCTCCAGAAAGGCCCTTGGTTAGGAGTCAGGGCTAGGAGGTGTGGGCAGGTGCAGAAATTTACAGTGAGAGCCCCAGCAGGGACCCGGGGTCTGTCTAGCGGTACCTCGTTGGTGTTGGAGGAGGAACTTTACTGACCAGTGTGGTCTGTTTCGCCGGGGTCTCGGGGAAAGCCAGGTGTCTGTGGAGCCTGTAGTGTTGAGGACAGGGTAAGAGGAGTATTGTTTTCTCAGGGCCCTTTTCACTTAGCAACACACACTCACCTGGTGCCGGTTGATTCTTCTTCCAAACAAACAGGCTTTGGGAAGACTTAATAAATTAATCTTCCTGGAGAAGAATCTGCAGCAGGGCCAAAGGCTCGGCTAATGTCAAAATGCACGTTGGTCATCGTGCCATGGTTATTGCAGCCAGCTCTGTGCCTTAGACTTTGTTAGTATATAGTTCAGGAAGGGGAGATGAAACGTGGGTTTAAGTCTCGTCCTCACAGCAGCTTGAGGATATATTCCCATTTTACAGATGGGGAGACTAAGACATGGGTTAAAATGGATGGGTTTAAGGTCAGAGCTTCAATTCCGTGTGGCTGAGGGTGCGTATACTGTTCCTTTTCTGCCATTTAGTTGGTGTTCCTTGATCCCCTTCTAGCTGCTTAGAACAGGTAATGTGACCTACAAGACTGTATACACTGTCACTTCTAGCTGGAAAGCCTTTCAGAGCATCTGGACTGTCTGTATTGAAAGAAAATATGGTGATGATTCTGTGTCAAGGTCCAAATGCATTTGCCCCCACAGTGTCTGCTGTCAGCTTCCGGGAGAGCTGGGGAGTGTTTTTTTCTGCCAGGGGCCATGTGGATATTTATAACATCATTCGCGGGCCCTACAACTTGAAAATTAGCCTGCTCTAGAGTTACTGAATTTCAGGGCCTGCCTGGGGTTGCCTTGTCAGAGCCAGACCCAGGGATTTTGTGGGCCTTACAGGGCCTGTAGGCCAGATGTTTCCCATCCCTGCCTAGGACGCATCAGCAAACAAAACTGACAAGGGTCCCAGACCTGGT